AAGCTAGAGCCAAGCTCGCAGGATTGGGCTCCGCACTCTGCCCCCGGGCGGTGCCCAGGCACCCCGGCGGCCCAGGCACCGCTGCGCGCCCCCGAAACACACTTTTGTGCATCAGCCGAAGTGCGCCGCAGCCTCCTGCCCAGCACCAAAACCTGGCCTGCACCTCCTCCCTCCCCTCCCCCTCCCCGCTCCGCCAGCCCCTCCCCCCCTCCCCCGCGCGCGCCTCTCGCCCCTCGCCCCCTTGCCTTCCTCGCCTTCGGCCCGCCCATCTCCCCTCCTTCATGTACGTCCGGCCCTGTGCACCGCCTGCGCCCGACATCCTCTGCGTTGCCTCGCACGCCTGCTCACACGCCCCCCCCCCCCCCCCCCCCCCCTCCCCGGATACACGCGCACGCAGCCACCATGAGCGCTGGCAAGACCGCCTCCGCCGTTATCGTCGGCACCCTCGCAGCGGCCACCGTCCTGGGCCTTTACATGGTCCTGACCGGCGACGGCCAGTACTTCGATGTGGGCAACTTCCTCCTGAGCATCTCGCCCTACGCCTGGGCCACGCTCGGTATCTCCCTGTGCATCGGCCTCTCGGTGGTCGGCGCCGGCTGGGGTATCTACACCATCGGCGCGGCCATCCTCGGTGCCGGTGTCAAGGTCCCCCGTGTCCGCACCAAGAACCTCCTGTCCATTGTCCTGTGTGAGGCCGTCGCCATTTACGGCATTATTCTGGCCATTGTCTACTCTCAGAAGCTCGGTGGCGCCGTCGCCTACGAGGGCTTCACCCGCGCCGACTACTACACCGGTGCGCATGCGCCCGTGCCTTGGGCCTTTGTCTTCTTCTTTTTTTTCTCCCCCCCCCCCTCCCCTGCACACACACACACACACACACCCACATCGGCTGACCCCGCACCCCGCCCCTCTCAGGCTATGCTGTCTTCTTCGCTGGCCTCTCGGCCGGCTTCACCAACCTTGTGTGCGGTATCTCCGTCGGTGTGGCCGGCTCCGGCACCGCCCTGGCCGATGCCCACGATGCCACCCTCTTCGTCAAGACCCTGGTCATCCAGATTTTCGCCTCCGCCATCGGTCTCTTCGGGCTGATTGTTGGTCTGCTCCAGGGTGGCCAGGCCCGCGCCTTCGGCGAGGCCTAATCGCGCGAATGCGCAACACCGGGCTGTGCCACACACACACACACACACACACCGGCCCATGATCTCCCCTCCGCCCCTCATCCTCATATCATCTGCTCTCTCTCTCTCTCTCTCCCTGTGCACGCGCGAATGCATGCACCCCTCTACTACTCCCTTCCTGGCAACCGCGCTGCTCCTTGATATACATCTGCGCCTCCCCTCCGGCCACGACCGCCTTCATCCGCCCTTGCCCCTCTCTCTCTCTCTGCCTCTCTCTCTCTCGCACTGACAGTCGCCAGGGGGGAGGGGCGAGGGCAAGGAACACGCGAGCGTGGCTTGGGTGGCTGACTTTCACACACGCGTCCTTTCTCCCTGAGGGACGCACGCCTCCCCTTTACATGTGCGTCCCTTCTGCCCGGTGCCACTGTGTCTCCTTTCCTGCGCGGGCGCGCGCAGCACAGAGCAAGCGCATGCACTCGCTGACATCACCCCCCCCCCTCCCCATGGCACTCTCCTCATCCGCCGCCCTCTTCCTCCCTCTCCCTCTCTCTCACACACACACACACACACACACGGGCGCATGCACACAGAGCCATGCCGGTCTTCCTCCCTCTCGCCACTTCTCACATCCACCACACTCCCATTTGCCCTGGCGGCCCGTGCTATATTTGTGTCGATGGACACACGCGCATGGCACCACCGGCCGCCGAGGAGAAGGGGGGGCTGTGAGCGAGGGGAGGCCCCTGTTTTCCCCTTTGCCCCAATAAAATACATATACATACAAATGTGCTTGGAGAGCGCACGAGAGGGGGAGCGAGCGGAGCGGGGGGCGGCAGAGACCCGGCGGAGCGCGCGTTCACATGTGCTCACCATGGAGGCTCTCCCGCTTCCCGAGATCCCTGGACTCTGCGCCTCTCTTCTCCGGGCGGCGCTGTGGTCGTCTCACATGCCGGGGCCAGGGAGAGGGGGGAGGGGGCGGCGGCACGCGGCATGGCTGCTCCCTCAGTGCGTCGCGCTCGCTTCCCGCGTGCATATCACAAGCCTGGTGGCGTCCCTCCTCTCGCGCCCTGCCCCCACTGGTCGCAGAGAAAGGAGGGGACCGCCGTGGCGGAAACAATCGATCGCGCCCCCCGGTGCAGGGGGGGGGGGGGGTGCAGCCGGCTGGCCGCCCACTTCTCCCGCCTTGCGCGGGATACGCACACAGCATCGAGAGAGAAAAAAAAGCCCCAGGAGACGGGAACAACACCACCCGGTGTAGAATGTGCTTCTGGAACTCCATGCCGCATCGAATTTTATCCAATAATACCCAGCGCACACTCTGTGCTTTTGGGCGGGACGGATATTTGTCCTGTTTTGCACGAACTCCGGCGTAAATCAAATTAACCCTCTGCCTACCCTTGTGACAGGCCTCCCGATAGGGAACGTGCGGAGGCTGCAAGCTTGAGGCGGTGCGCGAATGTGCGCATGCCCATGGTGTATGAGAGGGGCAGGGGGCGAGAGCAGGCGGAAGCGAGGGCGAGAGCAAGAGAGGTAAAGTTACAGGAGGGAAGAAGCCCGGGGGAAGAGGCCGCCGAAAGGGCGGGAACGGGGGCAGAGATAGACCCGCGGCCTGGGCGGAGCCCGCAAACGGCAGTCAGGCCCCAGCTTGGCGGCGGGGAACGGGCCGAGAGATACGCTGGCTCCTGCGGACCACCCCTGGAGGAACACCCACCGCAACCGGGTGCCAAAGTGCCATGGAGAAGCGAGGCCGAGGGGGGGGCGGGGGGGGGGAGGGGCACAGGGAGAAGGCACACAAACTGGCATGCAGGCAAGACACAGGCCCGCGAGACAGGACGGGGCGAAGCACACTACCGCCGAGGAGACCGGCCTCTTCCTGCGGCCTGACAACTTCGACGGCTTCTCGGTTGGGAGCTCCTTCGCTTCTCGGGGCGTGCATATCTGCGCCGCGGCCAGGGCGCATGCATCGGAGAGGGGGGGGGGGGGGGGGGGAGTCTTGCGCCCCCTGGCCGCAGCCCGGAGCGTGAAAAGCATGCAGCATCGTCACCCGGGAGAACAACGACCAATGCTTCTCCCCCCGCCAAGGAGACGCCTGCGAGGGCGGGTGGGTGTGGGTGGGGGAGGGGGGGGGCGTCTCCCGGCAATCGGCCAGCCGGCTCGAGGCATGCCCCGGCCCCCCCGGGCCCCGGGGCGCCAAACACACATCTTGGTGGCCGATAAAGAGCTCCCCGCCCGGGCGGCGCAGGCACTGCGCCGATCCCCAGACCAGCCCACCTCCTCCCCCTCCCACCTTGCCCGTGCCGCGCCCTCCCTCCCCCCCCCCTCCCCTGCCCCCCGCCCCACATCCGCCTCCCTCCTGGAGAAGCACCCCTCCCCTCCTCCCGCTGCCTCTCGCCTTCGCCCGCTCAGCCGGCAGCCGACGCAAGATCACTGCCGCCAGACTGGCCAGATCGGATCGTTGATCTTGCCCCACGGAAATATGGCGGCGTCATGTGCGTGGCCACATGCGCACGCGCGCGAATCTTGCCCCCATCCCCCCTCCTCGCCTGTCCGCCCCGCTGGCATACTCACACCTGCGATCCAGACCAACCGCCCAGCAACAACCCCTATGCCTTCGGGCAACACCCTGGCGGGGTGCCCTCTCAGGGCCACTCCCCCTCGCAAATGCCGTATCAGCCCCAGGCCCAGCAGCAGCAGCAGCAGCAGCAGCAGCAGTACAGCAACCCCGGCCCTGGCTCGCCATCGCTGTTCGTCCCCCAGCAGAACGTCCAGCACCAGGTACGTCTGCTTGGTGGATGTGTCTCGGCTCGGTTCGGCTCGGCTCGCCGTCGCAATTGACATGTCGCCCCTTCCCAGCCCCCCGGCCTGTATGGCCAGTCGCCGCCCGCATATTCCGACCAGCAGGGCCCCGGCGGCCAGTACCAGAACTATGACCCCCACTCGACCAAGGTCAACATGCAGATGCAGCCGATCCCCGGGTCCATCCAGTTTGCGGACCCGTCACAGCAGCAGCAGCAGCCGCAGCAGCAGCAGCAGCCCTACCCCCCGGCAGCTGGGTCCACCGGTTTGCAGGTTCCCCTGAACATCATCATGGGCCACCTGGCCGGGGCCGCGACCGGCGGTGCCCCTGGCGACACGCCGATGTCGGGCAATGATGCGGCGACGGCGGCGGCCACTCGCATCGGCCTGGCCTATGGCGAGCAGGCCCTGCACGCTGGGCAGCAGTACCTCAACAAGAATCTCGATCGACTGGTGAACCCGTCCCTGCTGAAGCCCTACTTCGATGTGAGCAGCAGCTATGTCGGCCGGAAGATTGCCCTGGTGCTCTTCCCCTTCCGCCATAAGTCCTGGAGCCGGACCCCGATCACGACCTACATGCAGGATCCCATGGCCACGGGTGCTGGCGGCGGCGGCCCTGGCGGCCACAGCCTCACCGGGACCGCCGAGTCCGGGCTCCACCCGGGGCCGGTGGCCACGGTGTCTTACGCCCCACCGCGGCACGATGTCAATGCCCCGGACCTCTACCTCCCGCTGATGTCCTTTGTGACGTACATCCTGCTGGTGGGCCTTAGCCGGGGGGCGGCCAAGAAGTACGTTCTCGGAGGGAGATCGGAAGAGCGTCGTGCGGGACCGCCGAGTCCGGGCTCCACCCGGGGCCGGTGGCCACGGTGTCTTACGCCCCACCGCGGCACGATGTCAATGCCCCGGACCTCTACCTCCCGCTGATGTCCTTTGTGACGTACATCCTGCTGGTGGGCCTTAGCCGGGGGGCGGCCAAGAAGTACGTTCTCGGAGGGGGGGGGGGGGGGGGCCTGCACGCACGCACGCACGCATGCCAAGCTGTCGTCTGCCCTGCCATTAGCTGTGCATCCGCCCTTGCCATTCCCCTCCTCCCTGCGTGCCTACCCGCGCACACAGACACAGACACCCGTGCTTCCGTCTCCTGACACCTCCATCCGGTCTCCGATGTGTCCCTTTCGCGCGCCTGGGCCGCAGCTTCAACCCCGAGGTCCTCGGTGTGACCCTCTCCAAGTGCCTGGCCTTCCTGGCAATCGAGCTGTTCCTCGTCCAGATTGGATCGTACATCCTGCACCTGAACACCCCGAGCACCGGCCCGGATGGGAGCTCCTCACCCGGCGGCTGGTGGTGGATCGACGTTCTGGCCTACATCGGCTACAAGTACATCCCGTACGTTGGCCTGCGTGTGTGTGTGTGTGTGTGTGTGTGTGTGTGTGTGTGTGTGTGTGTGTGTGTGTGTCAGGGTGCCCGTGTGAGCATCCATGCGCACATTGCCCCGCCCAGCTGCCTCCCCCTCACCCCCCCATCTCCGCCCTGTGTGGATCGCCTGGCATGGAGCGCTAACTTCGAGTCCATGCTCCCACTTTCCCGGGCGACAGGATCATCTTTGTCGCGCTGCTCAAGATCCTCTTCCAGTCGAGCAGCTCCGCCCTGGCCACCTGGATCCCGTCTCTTTTCCTTGTCTACTTCAGTGGCGCCCTCGCTCTCTTTATTGTGCGTTGCACCTGTCCTGCACTTTTTGTCCCGGTGCCGCTCCGCCCGCGGAGGGGGGTGGTGGGGCTTCGACATGTGCCTTGGAGTCTGTCTCCCCCCCCCCCCTCCCCCCTTCCTCCTCCTGGCTCTCGCCCTCGCCCTTTCACACATCGGCGCGCATACAGACACTTACCACCGAGGATGCGCCCGGCCCTCCCCCCCCCGGCCCCCAGCTTCGCACGATGCGTTACAACATGAGTGCCTCGCCGTCGGCCATGTCCAGCCCCGCGTCCCCCATCACCACCAGCGGCTCGCCGCCGCTGCATCGGCGCCGGCGGAACTACTTCCTCTTTGTCGTGGCCCTCGCGCAGATCCTCTTCATGTGGGTCCTCACCTTCGTTTGAGGAGGGTAGGAGGACGTGCGTGTGGCCTCCTTCTCTTCGCATCTCCTTCCCTCCCCAGCCAAGTGGAGGCTGGCCGATTGAGAATGCATCTGGCGCCTTGCGTGCCTTTTCCCCCGCCTCCCCCTCATGCGTGTGCGGGTCTAGATGTATGCGAATGCATGGGTGTTGGGTGTGCCTGTGGCCGTGCGTGTGTGTGTGAGGTATGGGGAACTGTGCCGGCACTTGCGCCTGCGCCATGGTGCCCAGCTCGGGGGAGAGGGACGCCAATGCACAGAAGGTAGTGCGAGGGGAGGGGAGGGGGGGGGAGGAGGATTACTTTGCCTCTGTTGCCTGGGCCTACCGACATGGGCAGCGGCCAAAACAGCCCCCGAGGGGGTAGCTCCCGCCCGGTGGATGTTCCCTGCAATAGGGCCGCCAACTCCACGGCCTTCCCATGGGGTAGACTGCACAATACGGAAGACGGGGGCAGGCGGAAGGGGAGACACATGGAAAAGGCGCGACGCGCGTCCCCAACCAGCCTGACTGGCGCCTGCTCACGAGGACGCCCCGTGCGCTGATCTTTCCGGTGGAAGGGGGGGGAAATGGACACAGGAGGGCGAGAGGTGGGCGCCCACAACGGACCCCCTCCCCCCCCACGCACACGCACATACACATGTGGCAAGACCCGTCCCCCAGCTGGGGGAGCGGCAACCGGAGGGTGTGCCAGCCAGAGCGATACACCCACACACATACGCACATACACCGGGGGATGGTCCCGCGCTGCGCCCCCCCCCTCTCCCCCTCGATCTGGCACGGCAATGGGGAAGGAAAAGAAGAACAAGGGGGATAGCGGGGAAAAGGCACACACACACACAGGCACGAGAGAGAAAGAGAGAGAGAAGACCACACAGCAACACAGAGGGCGCGGCGCGCGAAGGGGGAGAAGAAAAGGACGACAGCGAGGGTACACACTTTTATTGTGAAAATGGCAAGCATGCGGCTCTCGCGCGCGCGAGGGGCGGCCGCGTCCGAGCACCAAAGACAAGGACAACGCCCAACCGTCAGCGTGACACGCACACGCACGTGTGGAGGGAGGAGGAGGCGCGGACACACGACGCGCCGCACACGCACACGCACACGCACAGGGGGAGGGCGGGGGGACCCGTGCCTGTGCGCGCGCGCGCGCACGCGCGAGCGAGAGGAGGGGACGCACACTCACACAACACACGCGCACGCGCGCGCGACGACGACACAGCACCCGTCAGAGAGTTCGGGGACCAATTTAGAACTTGGTGAACTGCTTCTGGGCACCGGTGGCCTTGCGGTCAATGCGGATGACGTTGAAGCGGACGGTCTTGGAGAGGGGGCTGTGTGACGGGAGAGGAGGATGGGGGGGGAGAGGGGGCGAGTGAAAGCAGAAAAGGGAAGGGCTGTGTTAGGCACGGATGCGGGAGAAGGACAGCGCGGCGCGCGGAGGGAGAGAGGCAGAAGGGAGAGGGCGCATGTGCGGCGTGCGCGAGTGTGGGGCCAGGAGGGAAGACAGAAGGAGAAGCACGCACCGGCACTGGCCAACAGTGACGATGTCACCCTCGTCGACACGGAAAGCGGGAGAGCAGTGAGCAGAGATCATGCGGTGGCGCTTCTCGTAACGAGAGTACTTGCGGACGTAGTGGAGGTAGTCACTGTATGAATATGCGTGCGCGCGCGCGCATTTGGAGGGGGGAGGGGAGAAACACGGGGGAGGGAGATTAGGAGAATGCGCGGGGAAAGGGGGCAACAGGCAGGGGGAGGGGCACAAGCGCAACCCGACATGTGCCTCGTCCCCCGAAGGACGGGGCACATGTGCCAAGGGGTACGAAGGGCCAGACAAAAGGAGAAAAGGACACGCACCGGCGGACGGTGATGGTGCGGTTCATCTTGGTGGAGGCGACGACACCGGACAGAATGCGACCGCGGATGGAGACATCAGAGGTGAAGGGGCACTTGTTGTCGATGTAGTTGCCCTTGATAGCCTCAGTGGGGGTGCGGATACCGAGACCAACGTTCTTGTAGAAGCGGGTGGAAGAAGCCTTCTTGACACCGTACTTCTTGATGTTGATCAGGGAAATACCGTGCTGCTTCTGGAAAGCCTTCTCGACCTGGGGGAGGAAAGGAAGGAGAGGGCGCGGAACAACAGGAGGCCAAGGGTGTCAGGTCACAGAGTCGGGGGGGAAAGAGAGAGAGAGAGGGGGAGACACGAGGCAGCATGCCGCGCATCAATTGCAGGAGGTCCCGCTGCTCCCCCCGAGAAGAGGAGCGAGCACAGCAGGGGTGATGGGGAGAGGCGCCATGCGGGCGCGGGCGTGGGCCCAGCGAGAGAGGGGGAGAGAGAGGGGGGAAGAGAGGCCGAGGAAGACATCTCGCGAAGAAGAAGGCGCCAGGTCGCCGCAAACGGCGAAGACGCGCGAAGGTGCCGACGCGCGGCGGCCGGCTCTTGACGAGATACCTCCCAAGGCGCGAGCGCATGGGGAACAGGAGGGGGAAGGGGGAGACAGGCGCGAGTAGGCATGCATGTGTGTGTGGGCGCGCGCGCGCGCGTGCAGTCGGAGACGAGGACCGTGGCCAGGAGGGGACACCGCGCGCTGCAGAACCGCGGTGCAATGGCCGAGCATGGAAGCCAAGTGCACGCGCGTGTGCGCGCACACACACACACACATGCACACCAGAGCGGGGAGGAAGGGGAAGAGGAGGTGGACGGGGCACGGCAGTGGGCGCAGCCGAGGCACGGCCGGGAGGGGCATGCATATGTACGCGCACGCGAGCGAGCGCGGCCGGGGGAGGGGGGGAGGGGGCGGCGGCATGACCGGGCAGCCGCCGGGGGCAATGGGGGGGCAGGGAGGAGGGGGGAGAGTGTGTGGGTGTGGGTGTGGGCGGAGGAGGCATACCTGGACGTCAGACATTGTGATGGATGGGTAATGTGGGAGATGGATCAAAAACTCAAAACCACACAAGAGAGAGACAACAGCTTGCGCCGGGGGGGAGGACCACCGCCTCATTAGTGCGCCAATGCGAGCCGGAGGGAGCAGCGCGCATGCCCGAGCACGGTGCCCCCCCCTCCTCCCCCCCCCCCCGTCTCTCCACGAGGCGGCGCGGGGGGAAGGGTGAACGCACGCGCGCCCAGGCGGACAGGGCCTCGCCCCACCCGTCCCTCCCCCCCCCCCCCCCCTCCGACTGTCCGCCCCCGGGGAGAGCCCCCGTTGAGGTCGCGCGGCCACGCCACACCGCCGCGCCGCAAGGCCAGGGCGCAGGGGCCAGGGGGAGGGGGCATGCGCGAGCGGGAGGACGACCCCTTGCCCTCCCGGGCCACGGGTGCACGCCGTGCTCCGCCCCCGCCCCCCCCCCCCCCCCCCCCGCGCCGGCCCGGCAGCGCGGCGCCAGGGACTCAAGCGCGCACGCGTCCACACACACGCATGCACCCCCGCTCCGAGGCCCCCTCCCCCGGCTGGGCGCGTGGACTCTCTCTCTCTCTCTCTCGCACAAACGCACATGCAGACACAGGGGGAAAAGGGCCACTCCGGCGACATGAGCGCGCATGCCAGGGTGCAGACGAGTTGTCCGCGGAAAACCCGTGTGGAGCTCGGAACGGGGGGCGGGGGAGAGCGCACACACGCGCATGCAACTGCACCCCCCCCCCCTCCCTCCGCGCTGTCCTGCCGGCGCCCCAAACGACTCCAGGGGAAGACCGGCCACGCGAGAGAAGCAGCGGGGGGGGGGGACCCATCCCGGGCCTTGTGCCTCCGCGCCGCTTGTGGGAGGACTCCACCCGGCCCCGGGGCGGGGCTGCTCAGACTCGGCGGGGCACGCGCCCCACGCCGGTGCGCGAGAGGCGACCGCGCTTTAGGGACCCTCATCCACCTGGCCTCCCGGCGCCGGCCGGGCCCCCAACCCCCGGCCCTCGGGCGAAGCTAAATGCCCTCCCCCCACCCCCCGGCCGCCTCTGGCGATGATGGCTGTGGACCCCGGCCACAGGGGGGTCCACACAAGAAGCCCTCGGGTCCGGTCACTGGCGCCATGCGCTCTGGACAAACCAAGGGGCGGTGCATTCCGGTCGGCCTGCCCGCACGGCCGTCCTTGAGAGGGCGGAGGTTCTCCGAAGAATTAGGTTCCGGGGGTTTTACCTGAAATGCACCCCCGAGCCGGCGCCCTGGAAAAACGAACATCGGAACCGACCCTGCTCGCCCATTGGGAAGACGGGGGGCGGCAATAAATCCCCGCTTTAATATTATGGACAGCATTCTCCCAGTCTCCCGGCAGGCGGCCTGCCCCTTCTCCTTCGCAAGCGGCATGGGACTTGCATGCGTGTCCCTACAAACCGTCTAGGCCCTCCTGGCCACCAGGCAGGCGGTGCTCCTCCCAGGCCGGCAGGTTAAAGTGGCATATTGTCCAAATCACATGCCACACAGACTCACTGGCACGCATTGTGATCATGCACGCACACGAGGGCACGGGCCGCATCGCGCCCGCCCGACCTGCACACCCCCCCCATTTCCCCCCCCCCCCACCGCCCGGGGGGGTTTTTTTTTCCCCCCCGGGCCCCCCCCCCCCCCCCCCCCCCTCGGGACGATCTGCCAGTTCCTCTGGCCGGCACCCCCCCTTTCACACCCGCATCTTCGGCCGAGAGGTGGATCTCCCCGGTGGCCGATGTGGGGGCACGAGCGGCGCGCTTGTTTGCATGCCTTGCCCCGCTGGGCTCTCCCGCCAGAGGCCATCTCCCCCTGGGCCATCCCCTTCCGGCGGCTTCTCCATTTCCCCCCGGCCTGCCACTCGGATGGTCCCCCCCCCCCCCCCCCCGGGCGCATCTCGCGCTCTGAGGTGGCTCTCCTGCCGCCCTTCCGCGATTGATCGTAATGTGCCCGGACCACCGGATGTCCCCAAGTATGCAAACGCACGCACGCAGACATGCACGCACGCACGCACATATAATCTGGCAGAGGTGGGAAAAAAGTAGATGTTCATTAAAAAAAGGATGCACAGGGGAGGGGGGGGGAGCAGCACTCCAAGGTGCGCCACACATGCGCACGCGCACCACACCACCCGCCACCGCCTCTCTCAGCACGAGTCGGTGGCCACAGGCGAGCCGTCCGGATTGACGCGCTCGACAATGCAGGCACTGGCCCCGCCGCCACCGTTGCAGATGGCCGCGCAGCCATACCGGCTGGCGCCCTTGCCCTCCGGGGCATCGAGCGGCCCATGCGCCAGGGCATTCAGCAGGGTGACGACAATGCGAGCGCCAGAGCACCCAAGCGGATGCCCCAGGGCCACGGCACCGCCGTAGATGTTGACCTTCTGGTCGTCGAGCCCCAGCAGGCGCAGGTTGGCCAGGGCCACCACGGAGAAGGCCTCATTGATCTCGAAGACACCGATGTCCTCGAGGGAGAGCTTGGCCCGGGCGACGGCCGTGCGCACGGCCAGGTTGGGAGAAATCGAGAAGAGGGCCGGGTCCTGCTCGGCATCCGCACAGGACACCACTCGGGCCAGGGCCGCCGGCAGGGAGGTCTCCGGGGCACCCTCGGCCACCAGGCGGGCCCGAGTGGCGCGCAGCCATGCCCCACTGGCCAGGACCAGGGCCGCGGCACCGTCATTCATGCCGGACGAGGTGGCCGCCGTGATGGTGGGCTGGGCCCCGGTGGGCGGGGTGAACACCGTCCGCAGGGACCGGATCTTCTCCGGGGAGGCCGCGCGGCTGAGCTCCTCGTCGGAGGTGACCACGACATCCGGCCGGCCGCGGACCCCGGGCACCGTGACCGGGACGATCTCGCGGTCGAAGGCGCCGGCATCGCGAGCGGCGATCGCACGGCGGTACGTCTCGATCGCATGGGCGTCCTGCTCCTGACGCGAGATGGACATCTTGTGGGCGATCTGCTCGGACAGGTCACCCATGAGGGCCTGGCCGAAGCTGTCGGTGAGGCCTATGCGCGTGGGTTATGGCCATGGGGTGGGGCAGGTGGGGTGGGGGGGGGGGGGGGGGGGGAGGGGGGGGGGGGGGGGGGGGGGGGGGGGGGGGGGTGGGGGCGGGCGGGCGTGGCACCTCGGGCGCCGCGGCCGAGCGGCCCCACACCGGTACTCAGGACCCGATGAGGGGGGGGGGGGGGGGATTGGATGAGGAGGAGGCAGGGGAAAGAGAGAGGGAGCGAAGGAGGGAGGGAGAGAAAGAGGGAGAGAACGCGACGGGGGCGCATACGCACCGTCGTTCTGGATGGAGTCCGTCAGAGTCTGGCTGCCATAGCGGAAGCCGGCATTGCGGACATTCTTCGGCATGAGGAAGGGGGCCTGGGAGAGGGACTCGGTACCGGCGGCAATGGCCACGTCCGAGTAGCCCATCACAATGGACTGGTAGGCAAAGTGGACGGCTATGGGTGGATGGGGGGGGGGGGGGGGGAGGCGCATCGAGCGTGTCAATGGCAGCAGCAGCAGCAGCAGGAAGAGAGGGAGAGGGATGGCATGTCGCGGAGGACGTGCGTGCGCGTACCCTTCATGCCGGAGGAGCAAACCTTGTTGACCGACGTGCAGATGACGGAGTCCGGCAGGCCGGCAGCCACCGCGGCCTGCTTCGGGGGGGACTGGCCACAGCCGGCCGAGATGACGTGACCCATGACGAGCTCCTGCACGGCCGAGGCAGGGACATTCGAGCGCTTCAGGGCGGCTGTGCATGTGTGCCAGGGGGAGAGGGGGTGAGAGTCAGCAACGGTGGCACATGTGTTTGGGCTTGTGCCTGCGTGTGCGGCACATGCGATGCGCGATGCGCGATGCGGTGCGATGCGGCGCGAGGGCCGGTGCGCACCGGTGATGGCGTGGCCGGCGAGATCGGTCGCGGTGACGCTGGCCAGCTGGCCGCCGATGGAGCCGATGGGGGTGCGGGCATAGCCGACAATGAAAACGTCATCTACATGGGGGATGAGGACGCCGGGCAGGCGGGGGGAGGGGGGGGGGGCGGGGCTCAGGTGTCAGCGGAAGTGGGAGGAGAGGGCGCACGGGAGTCGCGGTCAGAACATACCGAGCTCCATCTGGGACGAGGTGGGGGTGACCATTGCTGTATGGTGGACATGCGCGGGGCGTGGGGCGTGGGGAGGCGAGGCGAGGCGAGGGCAGGGGGAAGGGGCCGGGGCAGGGGGGTAAGAGGCGGTGGAGCGCGGAGCATGTTGGGGCCGGGGGGAGGGGGGAGAGGGCGAAGACGCACATGAACAGGCGGATCAGGAGATGGAGGGGGGAGAGGGGGGGGGAGGAGGAGGAGGAGGAGGGTATGTGCGTGTGCGAGGGGGAGGGGAGAGGGGAGGGGGATGGTCTTCTCGAGGGGGTGTCTGTCCATGCCGGGGCGACCGAAAAAGAGCTCGGCCCCGACCATACACCAAAGGGTGTGGAGGGGGGGGGGGACGCGGCTAAGAGAAATTGGCACTACGGGATCTCCGACGACCATCTCCATTGTGCAATCCCGGTCGCACCAGGAGTTTGGGCGGGGCCCGAGCCCGGGATCCCCCGCCCCTAGAGGGGCGTCCTGGCGCCCCCCACTCCCCGGGGGGTGGGCGGGGGGGGCCCGCCGGGGGACGTAAGCCACGCCTGCCGAGGGGCGCCTCCGGGGGCTCGCAAGACGCACGCGCCGGGGGCCGGCGTCCATGCCCGGAGCGCCGGTCGCACCCTGCTCACCCGCCCTCGTCTGTCCCCCCCCCTCCCGCTCCTGCAGACGGCGCCAGGGGACCCGGGCTGTGGCTGTGGTTGGCGGATCCCCCCGCGCCCCTGGTCAGGCGGTCTCGCGCGGGCTGACGGGAACTAGCACCGGCACCGGCCCTGGGGCAAATGGGGCTCTCAGTCATGGGCACACATGTGTTGTATGGCTCTAGCCCCGCATGCGCGGACACGAGGGGGGGGGGGCCTCGGGGCCGGGGCGCGCGGATCAATTCCGCGCTCGGGCCGCCCTAGCCTACGAGGTGGGGCGGGGGG